TGAGATTACTAGGTTTACTTATTCTGTACCCTTGGAGGAACAATTAATTTAAGCAGAATTAGTTGTAGTTGTATTGAAAAAGGTACATTTAAAAGTTTAGTCAAATCCCTAATACATTAAAGTACATATTAAAAATCATACAAATTGCATTTATAACTGTCTTACAGGTGTTTTTCAACAAAAATGAGCTACAATAAAGGTCATGTATTCTGTCTGTATGCAGTACTTTTTCTCGTGCAGATACAGTCATCGTCACGTGTCGAACAGATTTTCAAAGTATGTCTGAGAGAAAACAGCCGAATCATGACCAAACAAGGACGCACTAATTGGACTGTCCTTCAAAAGCAAAGAGCTTCAAGAAGGATTATTAATAGAAAAACGCATGATTTCAAGCTGGTCTCTCCAACAGCGACTCATAGCCGGTAATAATGTAAAGGAAGACGCTAGAGGAAAACAGAAGCCAGTGGTGGTAAGAATCAATTGTAGTATTGTTTGTTGAATTGTGTAGAGGTGTTTTTGGCCGTATCATACAGGACAGACTGACCTCCCACACATAATTACTCATCTCAATTACTCAACGCTTGATATTTCTCCCCCACTTTCACAGTTCATTTTCATCTATCTTCTTTTTGTACATCTCCAACTTCCCTCATTTCAGCTCTATATGATTCACTGTAGCAGATTATAGTTTCACTGAAACGATAACCGAGGCTTCAGATCACAAAATCCAATCTCACATTTCATTTCACTCTTAACTGGACTGTCATTTTGGTCACTTCTGGTCCTCTTACTATATCAGGTATCATTTGTTTTCTCTTTCTACATTGTAAAAAATAAGAAAACAATGTTTCAGGTATTACAGCACCACATATTTTGTAGTTCATAACTGTATGTAGGCCTATCACTAACTAATATATGCAGGCCTACATTAATATACCAACTTACTGAAACTACATCAAATACTGATAACCACCATTATAATACAGGCAGTAAAATGACAAATTAAAGTTAATTGAGTTTGACATTTCACTTCTAAAAGGCTAATTAACATTTACTGACTGCACAATGTTACTCACACAAACATAATTTACATCAGGGCAACACACAATATTAAAACAATGAAATATTACCTAAATATAAATATTACATATTGTCATTAAAACACACCCACACGAGCGCACCCACATACACACACACACACACACACACACACACACACAAAAGCAGTGAAGACATCAAATTAGTATGTCTTACATTCAGATATTCAATAACTTCTTTCACTGATATTTTATGTATATACTGCTTTACTATTGCTGTACATGTGAGATACAAATCAAGTCTTGCTTCTAAATAAATAATGCTGCAAATAATGATTCCCAAAGGAATCCTTTATTGCCAAGGACATGGATTAGTGTAATTCCAGGGAAGTGGTCTTAATGGTTTAACGGATAATCTAACGAGTCTGGAGTGCAGATGAAATGAGATGAAGTGTGAATATGGTGCGGCGCTGATGTCAGGGGGTCTGTGGTCAGGTGGCTGGCAGGTAAGGAGTGTATCTGGGGTCCCTGCTGAGAACACTAAAATAAACCCAGATGCTTCTGTTCCTCGTGGCCACTGCACTATGTCTGATAGAAATCCGGTTAATAGATCTATTTTGTCCTTGTTTGTGGGTGGGTGAAGTGTGTGAAGATGAGTATACAATTAGGACATAGATGGTACACAAAAGAGGGGAATTGAGAAAATGGAAGCGAGCAAGACAATAAAGCTCAGAAACATGATAGCGACAGAGGTGACTCAGCGCTTCCTGTAGCAGGAAGATAAACACTTTGCCAGGCACTTGACGAAAAACGGCCCGCTCCTGCTCGAATTCGATCACAGCAGAGACAAAAGCTCAGATACAGATGCACACAAACACACACAATGCACAATAAAAACATGCTCTGCCAAGATATATGGCTTTTCATAGGCTTAAAAAAAAAAGACTCATTTTATATGAGTCCCAGCTTTTATAAAAACTATCATTTCTCCATTGTTACACTTACTGTCACATTGTTGGCAAAGTACAAGCGGCACAGTGTGACATCTTCCTGGCCAATTTCGCAATCAAGAAATCTCTTAAATAGGACCTGCCTGACAAAGTGAAGTAGCCTAAAAGATCCTCAAAAGCTAGACATCACGCCGAGATCCAAAGAAATTCAGAAACAAATGAGAAAGAAAGTAATTGAGATCTATCAGTCTGGAAAAGTTTATAAAGCCATTTCTAAAGCTTTGGGACTCCAGCAAACCACAGTGAGAGCCATTATTCACAAATGGCAAAAACATTGAACAGTGGAGAACCTTCCCAGGAGTGTCCGGCCGACTAAAATTCACCAAGAGCACAGCGATGACTCATCCAAGAGGTCACAAAAGACCCCAATATAATATTTATAATATTATTAACTTAGTTTATTTAAATGGAAATATAATAAAGAATGCAGAAACAATGCATTTATGTAATTACTGTATTGGCTAAAATGTTCATACTGGTGAATCCCTAAAAATTAGCATGATATTACTATGTTTTTGGACATGTAACCTTGGAATATATACATTCCATGATATATGAATATGGTACTCACTTAGTAGCATGGATCGCTTTAAAGTATCATAATCACCAAAAACCTTCACTAGAGAATGGTGCCTCCATAATACTTTTATATACAAACATAATAAACCTTAACATCTGAAGGTAAAACATGCTGAACAATACATGCAATGGAAAAACCCCCCCTAAAAGAACAAAATGAAAAAGCTGATAATTTGTGCAAATTTACTCAAGGCTTTTCTTCTGAGAAACAGATGCACATATGGTAAACATCATGAGATTCTTGATTAACTTTTGCTAGTCCTCATGAGCTCAGCATGCATGCATTGGCAGAGAGACAGAGAAATCCGAGCATCTCTCGGCTCATCCTGTCAATTCTCGTGCCCTTCCCACGAGACAGGAAATGAATGCCTACAGCCACAGAAATGTGTGTGTGTGTGTCTGGAGGAAAACGTCCTCGTCACATCTGGAAGTGATCGGCACACCAGCAACTAAAGAACATTGGGTTCTCATACACTGCCATGCAAAATAAAGCAATAAATCAATAAGCAACAGCAAAGAAGCATTGGCTGGACTATCAGGTAACACTGGCTGTATGATCAGGCAGACAGCATCACCTAGTGGACATTGATAAATAGGAATACCTAACCTGAAGAAATACTGATAAGCTGTATTTAATACACAAGTAATCAAATAAAATGAACATTTATAAACTGATACAGAGAGAGGCAATAAAGTATGACCTGGCCTGCCTGCGAACTCAGCAAAACCTCCACTGAACACTGCAGAAGTTTGAACATCAGACTATCACCATGGTTAATGCCTTCCCTGCCACTTAGATGTTTATTATTTTGGCCAATTTTATTATGCTAAAATACTATTACTACTACTACTAAATTACTTCAAAATTTATGGAATACTAATTATTAGTAATATAAAACAGAATAATTATTTTTCACTAATATTAATAACAATAACAACAACAAAAATATAGTAAAAATAATTATTCCAATTAATTATTTTGGACTAATTGATAATATTTTATTCAATACATTTTATTCAATAAAATAAATGTGTTCCTGTGGCTCAGTGGTAGAGCATTGCGCTAGCAGCACAAAAGGTCATGGGTTGAATTCCCAGGAAACACATACTGATAAAAAATGTATAGCCTGAATGCACTGCAAGTCGCTTTGGATAAAAGTGTCTGCTAAATGCATAAATTCATTTATATTTTACTATTATTGTTGTTGTTGTTATTATTTAGAGATTAATAACTAATAAATACTAAATAATAATGACTAATTATATTAATAATAATTATTATTCCATAATTGTTGGACGGATTTAAAGTAATAATAATAATAATTATTATTTTTTTTATTATTATTAAATAAATATTATCATCAATTAGTCCAAAATAATTAATAGGAATAATTGTTATTTTTACTATTTTACTATATTTATTATTATTATTGTAATAAAAATAACAACCAATAAATAGTAAAAAAAAAAATTCCTAATAATTATAATTATGTAAAGTGGGCCTAACTTAATAATAATAATAATAATAATAAATATAGTAAAATAGTAAAAATAACAATTATTCCTATACATTTTTGGACTAATTGATAATATTTATTCAATACATTATTGATATTTTACCATTATTTTATTATTATTATTATTGTTGTTGTTATTAATGATTAATTAATAACTAATAAATCGTAAATAATAATCAATAATTATTCCTAATTATATTCTTAATCATTATTATTCCATAAATGTTGGACTGATTTATAGTAATAATCACTATTATTATCATTAATTTGATGGTGACGAATATTATTGTAATAAAAAAATATCAACCAATACATATTAAAACTAATAATTAATTACATTCCTAATAATTACAATTACATAAAAGTGGGCCTAACATAATAGAAGTAAATCCTTCCTTGTATAATCTATTTACAAATATCTAATTTTGATTTTAAAGAGACAGACTAAACAAAAAACACATCTTATTTATAGCATCTTTTCTTAAGAAATAATTAAGGAGCTTGATTAACAAAAGAAGACAACTAAAGGGGTTAAACTAGTTTGACAGAGGCCTGTTCTGATAGTCTTACACAGAGTCAGCATCTTCAGTGCCAGATTCACAGGAACATGGCTGTTTTCCTGGACACAGATCATGTTTAGTCTCAGACTATAAAAGATTTCACTATGAATAATCACTACTGACAGCCAAAACTCTGCCTAATCCGCTTCAGGGAAATTGGCTCCATGTGTTTCAGTTGACCGCTGATCCATTCTGGATTTCATTGTTCAGTGATTACAAAAGGCAAAATATATACTGGCATTCATACAGCAGCAGTTAATCAAAGTCTGACAGCAAATTGTAAACATTTAATTTTATTTTGCGCGTAACTAAAACACATTCTGTACAAGACATTCAAAGAGCTCCTTTCTGTTGGAGAATCTCTCATCCCGGCATAATGGGAAATAAAAAAAGTCAGAGCTGGAATTCAGAATGAGTATTATCTTCCTCTGCAGAAGAATAATTCTGAACACGCTCTCATTTCCCGCTGTAATTTTGAAAGGATGAAGGTCACTTATGCAAAGTGGCTGGCAGCTCCTTTCTAAGTGAGGGACAAGATGATTACGTTAAACTAAACCACCCACTCGCCGCAAGACGAAACATTGTGCTTTCAGGGTCAGTGTTTCTTTTTCAACGGATTATCTCTCTCACACACACACCAGTGACATGTCAGCGCACAAAACACACACACACATACAGACTTCCTCACATTTGTCTTTTTCTCACACACACTTACTCTTTCTCTCTCACTTGTGTTTTCTCTCTCTCACTGTCTCGTGTCAACTGAGGGTTGATTTGATGAAGTGTGTTGGGCTGTGATGTCAATAGTGAGATCTGATTGGCTCGCTTGTCTCCTGCAGATGTCCACAGTGATCTGTGGTTGGCCGTGCTATTCCGGCTGGCAGCCACAGGAGGCGCTCTGTTCACGGCAACATCTCCTCATCTGCTGACCGACATCTGAACCCGCCTTCTGTGGGAAGACAAAGAGAGATAACTGGAAGTCCAAGCAAACTACAAAACCGAAGGCCATCGCTCTATGCGGATTTAAAAACTCACAGTTTCTTGTTTCTGTTGTATCGGTGCACTTTGCACAACTGATCACATTAGTTTTTTTTGCACTGATTTTCAAAGATCAGGAAAATAAAGGTCATTGTTAATTTATCTGTCACTAATTATGGCAGGTTTAAAACACATATACTCACATTATATGAATAAATAAACCTGTCATTTAAAAGTTTGGGGTTAGTAAATTATTATTATTTTTAACAATGGAAATGAATACTTGTAATCAACAAGGATGCATTAAATTGGTCAAAAGTGGCAGTAAAGACATTTATAATATTACAAATTTCTATTTCAAATAAATTCTGTCCTTTTGAACTTTCTATTCATCAAAGAATTCTGAAAAAAACAAAAAACAACAACAGTGTCATGGTTCCACTGGTTTTAACATCGATAATAATAAACGTTTTCTGAAGGATCATGTGACACGGGGCTGGACTAGGCGCTGGACAAATCCAGCCAATCTGGATCACAAGCTCCTCGTGCATGTTTTGCTGGGTTATAGAGCCTTCGATTGGAGTAAATGAATGAATAAATAAAACAGGACAGAAATAAATAATGATAGATATTACTGAATTCCCAGCAAATGCAACAAACCTAATAATGCAATTTTGTCACATATAAAGGCACTTGACAGTAAAGCAATGATTTTGAGCTAGAATGCAGAAAATTGACTGCTATTAAATTCTGTCATCATTTCTTCACTCTCACGTCATTCCAAACCTGTATGACTTACTTTCTTATGTGGAACACAAAAGAAGATATTTTGTAGAATGTTACCAAACCATTTTGAATACCCTTGATTTCTGCTACATGGACAAAAACTTCTTGAATTCCTTAAATTATCTTCTTTTAATGTTCCACAGAAGAAATGCAAAACAGGTTTGGAATGACATGATGGTGAGTAAATGATGACAATTTAAATTTTGGGGTGAACTATCTCTTTAAGAACTTTAACATTTGTAAATAGTTAACACCTAATTTATATAAGACACTGATAATGATCTTTAATCAGGCTCTTATTGAATTAACATTTTGCCTCAATTAAAATGAATTAGACCTAAACATTTAAAGAGAAAGAAGCTATTACAGCTATTCTGTAAAATGATCCTTTGCCCGAATGAAATTTACTATAGTTCATAGAATCCAGAGTTGAACTGATTAGTATTAGTAAGATGGTGGTCACAACAAATAAACCATGGTCCTCCTCATTACCATGCTTATATGGTTTTTGAAATAAATAAGAAGTAATAACAAACTATGGAATTTGTAATTTAAAAAAAAGCCCTAAAGATGTAGAAACTACAAAAACAACTTCTATAAAAGTAAAATATTCCCCAATATTTAATGTCACAGTGTCACTATTTTAACAATGTCCTTACTACCTTTCTGGGCCCTGAACGTGGTAGTTGCATTACTGCAGCCAAATATTGTTCTATCCTAACAAACCATACATCAACGGAAAGCTTATTTATTCAGCTTATTCAATAAAAAAATGGACCCTTATGACTGGTTTTGTGGTCCATGGTCACATATTATCTCTGCAAATATTACACCCCCCCCCCAGAAAACTCTCCATATGCACACCTGCATGAGTTTGCGAGAAGGCCTTTTTGGTTGGTTGTCTGGGTGATTTGGAGTCCAGGCCCCCAGGCTCTGATTGGAATAGAAATCCATAGGATACACCTCCTGCCATCCCACCTGCTGCAGCGCTACTGCTGCCTGAAAGAGAGAGGGATTTTTAATTAAAGACATCAGACTGCAGCATCAAACACTGTAGCTGCAAGCCAGAGGAACAGCAAGAATCTTGAGAAAACAACATGGCAGGGCTGCCAACAGCTGACGGGTCGATACACACATCAGCTATGAGCGCAATCGGATATCAAGGGAGCTCTAGTCAAACACGGCGCTTCTCGTTGAAGAGGGCAAGTCACCTGACTCTCACACCGCATACCATCTCCCGGATGGCTCTATGTATTACCGATGCACAAAGATCTTCCCCCCACTGGTGAAATGCACCGAGCCGAACCTCTGAGTCGAGGTGAGATCCGTGCTGTTCCATGTGACCTACAAATGCAGACGAATACATTAGCAGGCCTCCAGAGGAATGCAGGAGTTCCTCATGCATGTGGCTATATTACATAAACTCCGGCAGGATCTCACCCGTCAGACTGAGCTGCTTATATGAATAATCAATGCGCCGTGTTCGTCTCCGCCCGTGGGCACGTATACCCACTTCACAAGCGAGATGCGCTGTAACGAACGGCTCTAATACCGCTGGAGAAATGACAAACGCCCCCGCCTTCGGTGAAGGACTGTCTCTCTCCGCTAACAATACTACAATACCTCACAAACAAACGCTTCTTCATAAATCTCTCTTAAATACCTTTCAAAACCTAATGCTACAGTCACTCGCTTTTATTGACTGGAAAAGCGACAGTCGAGAAGTTCTCGCCTGAATGTTTTTCTGTGAAAATTGAGGCTTCTGAAATATAGCAGGCTATGTATTTAATAATTTAGACTCTTATTAACCCTACATAGAAAAAAAAAAATATATATATATATTGTTTGGTCAGAGTTGTGATCAAAAGCCTGAACAGACTGACTCACATTTTATTATTAATATTTTAAAACAATAGTTAAAGCCAAAAAGAACACAAGTGGAAGTAGATGTATGTAGAGACCAAAAAGTAAAACTATTTATATACTGTATATATAGGCACTATTTCACTATTAATTTTGTAGAAAACTAAATAAATATGAATAATTTTATTTTAATCTTTTTTTTTTTCTTTATATATAGTATCATATCCACTATATATATATATATATATATATATATATATAATATGATACTATATATAAATATATAGTATATCAATTAATTATTAATAAAAAATAACAAAACAAATTATATATATATATATATAAACACGCACACACTTACATATTATATATACATTTACATATATCATAAACATTATAACACAACATTCTAATTTAATAGTTATTACATAGAAATCATGTAGGATAAAAAAATTCAAGAAACGTATACAGAGGCACTACTTCAATTTTTATATTTGTTGTTAAATTGATGTTAATTGTTAGCAATTTGAATAATAATAATAATAATAATTCAATAATCAAACTAGGAAATGAAACAAATGGAAGAAAAGATATATATATAATATGATACTATATATAAATATATAGTATATCAATTAATTATTAATAAAAAATAACAAAACAAATTATATATATATATATATATATATATATATATACAGTGGGTAATAGAAATCATGTAGGATAAAAAAATTCAAGAAACGTATACAGAGGCACTACTTCAATTTTTATATTTGTTGTTAAATTGATGTTAATTGTTAGCAATTTGAATAATAATAATAATAATTCAATAATCAAACTAGGAAATGAAACAAATGGAAGAAAAGGAATTATGTAGGGACCAAAAAGTCAAGAAGTTTATAAATATTTAACTACTTACATTTGTTTATGGAAAAAAACAACAACTAAATATTCAATCCAAAAGATTGAATATTATTAAAATAGTATTTATACTATTCAAAAATAAAAGAATAAAATAAAATAAGAATGGTGCTGTACATGATATATTAACACTGATGTTAAATCATCTTAATAATATTAAATTCATATATCGGTATATGACTTTCTGTGTGAATATAGTCAATTAGCGATGTTGAAAATGATGAAAAAATTTATTTTTATGAGATAAGATCTTGGATGAGCTTTTTATCTGCTTTGGATGTGCTGCCAACACCAGTCTTTCGTCCTCTCTTCTTCCATCCATCCTGTTCTTATTAACCCTGGCACATCCATCTCTCTTTTACTGGCTTTTCATCAGAGCTGTGCATAAGCCACCTGCTAATCCCTGCACTGACATGAGAGGCAAGTGTGTCATATTGACTATAAATATATCATGAGACACACTGAAAATGACTGCCCTCTCTCTCTCTCTTCATACTTCACTTTCACACTCCCTTACATCCTCTCATTTCTCGACTTCACAGAAAAAGCAAACACAAGCAGAGAAGCATTAAGGTGGCAGTTTCTGAAAATACTTTTACTATGAACTCCATGTTTAAGCAAACCGGCTGGGCAGGAACACTGTTACCCCTTTTATTATGGGCTGAGCCTTCACAAAACATCAGCGTGCTATTGCTGCATTTGAATGTATTCTCATAATGCCACATTTGCTCTACGCTTCTACGACACCAAATGCGCTGAGCTCCGGCGTGGGCCAAGCAGCAATGAAAATGGATTACGGTGACATGTAGAATATGAGAGCCACATATGATTATGCAGTGCTTCAATATGGCTCTACTGAGCATTATCATTATTCACTAAGAGATATGATGCCATAAAATCTCAACATAAATGAGCTTCTCCTGGTACAGTGGGTACATTGTTGCTATAGACCGATATATCGGGCAGGATGATTAATAGGCTGATATTTAGTCATTTTGAGAGGTGTCGGGAGATAACCATGCCTGCTTGGCTGATAAACAGAAGATTCCCCTCACGGCAGTTTCAAAATATTGCAAGTCAACAGCATTGTCAGTGCACATAGTGAATTTTAAATAAGCACTGCATAAAATATTTTCTGTTGTAACTGATTATGTTTTAGGACTGTGGACATAATGATGTATGTATACAAATAATAATAGTCATATTGAAATTAACTTTCTGTCCAAATCAAAACCTATTTTGATAATGTTATTTCGATTACAATCGAATATATTTTTTTTTATATAAAAAAACCTAGTAATCCTCACATCTGAAAATTCATTGTTTTAATTTAGGTTTTATATTTAGTATCTTAAAAAAAAAGCTAAATTATATACTACAATTATACATTATACAAATACAAGTTTGTGGTCGGTAAGACTTTTTTCATGTTTTTGAAGTCTTTTAAGCTCACAAATGCTGAATTTGTTTCGCTGCATTTATTTGAGTATTATTGTGAAATATTTTTACGATTTTCTTCAGTGTCACACGATCCTTCAGAAATAATTTTAATATGTTGATTCAGTGCTAAATAAACATTTCTTATTATTATCAATGTTGAAAAAAGTTGTGCTGAATAGAACATTTATTTGAAACTGATTTTTTTTACCATTATAAAGGCCTTTACTGTCACTTTTGATCATTTTAATGTGCCCTTGCTAAATAAAAATATTAATTTACTGATTTAAAAAAAAAAAATCGTACTGAACTCACAGTTTTAAACAGTAAATTATAACACATTAATTATAAAAAAATAGTAATATTATAAATTACTACTGTTTGAAATAACGTTATTTATATGTTTATTATATAATATAAACACAAATATATATTTATATGTTAATATATAAGCCCCATTTTTTACAGCCATAACTCCAGTCTACTAAGAAAATCCTTCTAATGTGATAAATTGGTACTCAATAAACATTTTAATAGGGTTGAAAATTGTTGTCCTGCTTAACATCCTGTGGAAAGCAAAAACTCGTTTCTCTCAAGTCACTGTACCGTATCACATTTGGTTATAAAACTGACCAAACAGAAACATATTTTAGCAACCTCATCAGTCTGTTGTTCTTTTAAGAGATGAAGACTATTTCATGCACTGCTGTCTTGAAAAAAGCTAGCAAACTGGATCAAATAAGGACAGAGAGAGAAGAGAACGGCCCACGTGCACAACAACAAGAGGACAAGCACATCAGAGCCTCAAGTAGAGTCTCAGCTGGCAGCTTCATTGAACAGTGCACACTAAACACCAGCTTCTGGCCTTTAGGCAGAGTTTCAAAGAAAAAGCCACATCTGACATTGGAAAATAAGCAGAAAATGGTAGACGGGCTAAAGAACATAAAAATAACACATGGCAAACTATTATTATGGATGGGTGATTCTAAGTTTGAGATGTTGTGGATATTGTTTAAACATACAGTAATTCAATCACACTTCAAAGTCTGCAACACTGCCATTGCTGCAAGCTGAGAATTCGCTGACAGATAATGTTTAAAGAATACAGTTCTTTTTATTTTTTATTATTTGTAATGCAATAGACTGTCATTTGTGACAAATATAATGCACACATTAAATAAAAGCAAATAAAATAAAATAAAAACAGTGATTTGTCAAAATTATTTTTATAATTATTATTTTTGAAATGTAAGGCAAATTTGGATAAATATAAAACAAACAAATGTTATTTCGATTACAATCGAATATATATTTTTTAATAATTTTTTATATAAACTCATTTTATAAATGATATCAATGTATTATATATATATATATATACACACATACAGTAAATATTTTGAAAATATTTACATAGTACATACATTTAAATATTTATATTCTTATATTTTATATAATATATAAATAAATGTAATATATAAACATAACATATTTTTCTTAAATATATACATGCATGTGTTTGTATTTTATATATACATGATAAATATACACAGTATACACACAATAAAAATACATAATAAAAAACTTATATATATATATACATATATATACATATATATTATTTTGCATGAATAAAAACATCGCATGTAAAGTACATTATGAAAATATACTTATTACATTACATTTTTAATGTTTTAACATTATTAAAAATCACAGCAATGAACCCTTGGTCAATAAAACTATCCATTTCTTTCAAAATCACACACAAATAAGGATTATATCAGCTATCGGACAACCTCATCTCCAGATATCAGTATTGATTTTTGTATCAGCCACAGAAAACCCAATATCAGTCGACCAATAGTATATATTCCTGCTAGACTAAGCAAGAAGAGTAACAGGCATCCTAATGAGGTCTATCTGCAGATAAAAATCCGCCATATGTTTCTGTTTTGCATCTGGGAATGGGGAATAGGGATTTAACCGAGACACCTACCCCAGGAAAAACCCTTGGTGTGTGATTCTGGCTAAGTCCTGTTTTGGCATGACATGAATCGAGATGCACACTCGCTTCTGGTGATGAGAGAGAGAGAAAGACACCTTTGGAGAGGTGCTGCAGTTAGTCGGCCATTGGGAGGAGCTACTGTTCCACCCAGAGCTGGCCGACTCATCCCGTCTGTCTCTGTGGAGTAGAGACGGTGGGTAAACAAACCCTGCTCCTTCACTAGCATTAAAGTGTGTGCGTAGATGTTAGTTTGCGAGCACTAACACATACACACGTTGTTCACACAAATGCATACACAGCCTTTATGTCCCAAAGGCACTCAGACATGGCCAGAAACACTCATGACAAACATGACGGGCAGCATGTGGACTGACGGGGCAGAGGTGAACACCTGAAAGGAAAGTACAGCTGTGTGGCGTGTGTTAAGGGAGATGGGGATTCTTAAGGTCTGCGTGGGTCTTTTTGTCTTCGCTTTCATAGTCAAGTACGGTAAATGGAGGATTGTGCTGTGTGCATGTATGCAAGACTTGTGTACCTCATATGGAGACAGCAAGGGTTTGGAGAAAGCCGTTCCCCAGTCGATGGAGAGGCGAGGACAAGCGATCTGCACCCACCTATGAAGGAAGATGAGTAAAGAGAGACCTAGTTAAACAAAATCAAAGTGAAAATTGAAATGTTTGCAAACCAGTTTACTTAATTGAGATATGTGATTATATCAGAGTGAGAACAACATGTAGGGCTTTTTATTCAAGAGGAAATGATCGGATCGTTAAAAGTTGTCTCGGCAGGGTGAAAAGATACTGACAGAGCGGGCATGCTATAAAACATTCTCAAAAAATGAAATATAAATTCTCCATGGGGAATTTTGTGATAACTAAAAAGGGGTATAGTGTCCTTACTACTGTGACTGGTTGAGGACAAGGTTTTCAAAAATGATATCAGACAAATAAAAGCAGAATAAAGAGATTAAAGGACAAGTGTGAATATAATTGTTTTTATTTGGAATGATGTGCACTGATGAATCAACCACAATAAGACCAGGCATCTAATTAAATGAAATTATGATTTTATGTTCACTGGAATTTGCATATTGTAACCCTTAATTAAGGATGTGGGAAATTATATTTTTCAAATAAATTACTCTATTTAAAATAAATTAAATCTAGTTGACCACTGTGACCCATCTGTGAATATTTTAAAATCTGTGTTATTTTAGTATTATTTATATACTATTATAGTAGTTATTAATATTTTGAATTAACTTTTAAATAATTAATATAAATACATCCATATACAAAATAATGTAAATAAATAAATAATACAGATTTGAATTAGCTTTATTTGCACTTTTACAATTGTAATTTTAGTTTGTTTTATGTACTTTTGTAATTTTTATTTTTATTTATTTTAAATATTTATATGTAGTTTGAAGTAGGAGTCGACCAATATGTGTTTTTCAGGGCCGATGCCCATACCGATGATTACAGATCAAGTAGACCGATCACCAATATTTTGAACTGATATGTCTGGTGTAAAAATGAAAACTAATGTCAAAATTAAGAATAACAAGGGCTCTGATAAAAAAAAAAAATTTCTTTAAATGCTTTTAAATTATTTTATCAGCAATAGGGTTGGGTATCGTTTTTTTTTTTTTTTTTCCGATACCGGTTCCAAATCGATACTTTTAAAACGGTTCCGGTGCCTAAACTGATACTTATTAAAAAATAAAATTATGGATTGGCGGGGTTCATGGGCGGGGCTTCACCTAACAGTATACGTAGCAAGGTTTTTTGTTTGTTTGTTTGTTTGCTTATTTTGTTTTTATAATAAATTAAAAGAAAACAAGTAGAAAGAATAGAAAAAGAATAGGGAATGCTAGTGTTAGAGGGTAATTTTTAAATAAAAATTCAATAGAACAGAAAAAGAACAGATAATGCTAGTGTTAGAAGTTTATTATTTATAATAAATAAAAATAAAATAAGTGGAAAGAATAGAGAAAGAATAGAGAATGCTAGTGTTAGAGGCTCTTTTTTCTTTATAAATAAAACAAGTAGTTAGAATAGAAATAGAATAGAGAGTGCAAATGTTAGAGGGTCAAGTTTTTTAATTAAAAAAACAAGCAGATAAAATTAGAAGTAGCATTAGAATAGAGAGTGCTAGAGTTAAGAGAGTCAAATGAAGATGAAAGAGATGTGTTTTCAGCCGTTTCTTGAAAATATTAAGGACTCAGCTGCTTGGATTGAGCTGGGCAGGTCATTCCACCAGGAGGGTACAGTTAATGTAGAAGTCCATGAAAGTTTTATCATGGGTAGAATGCAAAATATTTCAATACAAGCATTTAAGTCAAATGTAATTTATGCAATATTTCAAACTTTTAACCCACTTGGGAAAATCAACCCATGGCAACGGTTTAAAAGTAGCCCAATTCTGTGGAAAAAACGCGGACTTGGCAACCCTGCATCCAACAAGAGCTACCGGAGTCAGCTTTGACTGATCACAGGTCGAGAATAAGGAGAGATGACTGACAAGACCATGCTGGAGTATTTGCTGCTCAACAGATCCTGAGCTCACTGACAAATATCTGATCTTGTAAGATGTGCTCCCTTTACACAGAGTGCGTGTAAACAGAAAGTAAACAGCGCAAACGCTCATTCAAAAATATTTAAATACACCGCATCCTGAGAGCGGCTCCCTGATGCGCCAAAATGATATAGAATATTAGAATGTTTAAAGGAGTGGACATGAAAATCGCGGGAGCGAAACATGTTGCGGGAGCAGGCGGCAATGGTCAGAGATTCAGTGGGAGTGAGATTAAGAAAACAGCCGAATCCCGGACATTTTGGGCAATTAAGAAATCTCGGCCGGACGCATTTTTTTAGGTCCAAAAAGAGGACATGTCCGGGGAAAAGAGGACGTATGGTCACCTTAATTTATAATCTATTGCTAATCGATATATATTCTTTTTAAAGTAGCATATGGAACATTTTCTGCCTCATTCTGTGACAAGAAGCCTCATCAGATCACAAAAGGAAGCATTTGACTGGTGTTGTGGAAACATTATAAAAAGGTTATAATGTTCTCTTTTGTTGGACAACAGGTTTATAAATGTGAATACAAGGGAGGTTTAGCTTTAGGCATTTTAATTTAAGCATGTTTAGCTTAGTTAACGGAAGGCTACCTGCTGCCATCAGAGCAAGTGTAATTACTGCATTCACGCGCTCCTCGGATGCTCTCATTTCCCGAGTTGTGCTTTTAAGTCGGAATGTGAAAACAACATGGACACTCTCGTTACTACAAAGATGTGTTGGATTTGTATTATTAGAGCTTTCCGACTTGAGTTCACGTGCATTTTCTCAGTCGGGAAATTATTATTTTTCACATGCGGTGCAGGTGATGATGCTTCTTACATCTGTTTCGGAGAACCAGAGGACAAATATTTCAATCGATCGCTCAGGCATGGCACCGAAATGAGGCACCGAAATCTGCGTTCGGATTTGGTTCTAGTACATTCCGGTTACATAGGTACCGGGTTTCGGTACCCAACCCTAATCAGCAAATCAGTTTTGAAAATGATCAACACGGATAACCATAAAAATGCTCATAATCAGTCGACCCCTAGTTTGAAGCTTCATTTTTATTTTAGTTTAAGTATTTATTTCAATTTGTTTCAAAGAAAACATTTATAATTTTCATTAAAGCTTTTTTAATTTTAAGTTTTTCATCTAGTATTTATATTTTATTTCAGAGTTATTTCAATTTACTGATTAGCAATGATTTTAATAGCATTAGTTAACAACAAGGTTGTTGTTTTAGTTAACTAAAACCATAAAAAAACATTTTTGCTAAATTAAACAAAATAAAGTAAATGTTAACTGAAATACAATACAAAACTTTAATAATTTTCTTTATCTAGTTGCCAAGGCAACATTTCTCATTTTCAGTCAGAAATGCTTGATGCACTAAAATAAATAAAACTGAAATACAACGAAAAATATATGAATAAAAAAATTCAAAATATGAATAAAAACTATAATAGTATCTCAATAACACAAAAATAACACTGGTTAACAAAAACACTGAATAAAATTGACCTTATACTATTTAAGACATGTGAAGGAAAAGTGAGCCCCACACACACACACACACTTGAGAAAGCAGAGCACAGCTTGGCTCGCAGGGAGAATGTGAATGTGAACTGCATTGATGTGCAGTGCTGATGCTCTCTCCTGTAAATATGAGAGTAAATCTGCACTGGCCTAAAGCTTCCCTGCAAAGCATTATTATTTAGACAAGCATGGAGTCAAATAAAATAAAGAAAGAGCGGGGAGAGGAGGAGGAAAAAGGAAAGAGGGTTGAGGTGAGAAAGAGGCAGCAATAAGAAAGGGTAGGTGAGCAAAAACAACTGCACTGCAATGCCCTAGTCTCCACGGAGCTACCCTACATAGCAGCCAGACTAGGCGGGAGAGAGAGAGAGAATAAAAGAGAGAGAGAGAGAGAGAGAGAGAGAGAGAGAGAGAGAGAGAGAGAGAGAAGGAGGGACAGAAAAGAATAACAGTGACATGAGAGGTGAGGGAGGGCTCAGAGAGTCACATGAGGAACAGTATGAGTGATCGTTGGCAGGCAGAGCGAGAGAGTGTCTAGAGAAACTGCATTTGTCTTTTGAATGTGTGTTATGAATACAGAAGCACTGGAGCTGGAATTGTGGGTATTCGGATGGCTAATGTTAAGTAAGAGAACATTCACTGGGCTTCGCACACCTGCAGCTAAATGCCACACTTGGGAAACTGACAAGACAGCATAAATGTATTTTAAGTGGGCTTTAACAAAGCATGCAGTGTTGCATTAAAAAAAGCAAGATGTACATCTCATACAAATAGTAATTTCACATAATATATAAATCTATTCATATAAAATGTCTCAAGTGTTGGGAAGTAACTAGTTACATGTAATGGGTTTACATAATTACAAAATAAATGTAAATGTAATCTGTTACAGTTACTGAGAAAAAATGTGTAATTAAATTACAGTTATGAAAATGTTAAAAATGACAAAGGGGGTTACATCTGAATATTTACACACACACACACACACACACACTGACTGACTTCTTTCTCAAATTGCATTGACTGCTCTAAAGACACCAATGTTTCAGGAGTTTAGGACACAGAATAGGACGTTTATTTGATAACTTTTTTTTTCTATTTGGGTTTATATGCTTTATTTCCTGTCATAACTATGCAAAGATTTGATTTAAAAAACAGTATCATAGCTATTAAACTATTTAAACTCATATATCTTATGATTTTAAATCTTTATTTAACATCAGAACAATCTCGTAAAAAGAGGTGCTAAAGTTTGATTTTGTGGTGGCTGTGGTTTAAAATGTAATTTTAATCCTCTAATTCAAGAGATGAAGGATTTTAAGAAGTCTGACAGTAATCAGTGTTGAGTCCTACTATAACGTTAACCCTGCCTGGTTTAAATGTTTGAAAATGATTAACAGTTGAAAAAATTCATTAGAAATTTAGAAAAGTAATCAAATGTAATCAGTTACATTACTTTAAAGTAATTTAAATATTTACACCACTTATTACATTTTGAATAGGGTAACATG